GAACAAAGTGATCTCGGTGGAAAATAAATAGCGGCGCCTCCCCGAGCCGGCCTATCCCCGCAGCCGGCACAAGCCAAACCCCGCCGGGCGGGGGAAGGGGGCAGGGCGGGGGGGCCGGGAGGGGTTCCGCCCGCTCCTCCGTCACGTAGGGTTTGGCTGTGCCCTCTGAGCGCCTCCCCGCTATTATTTTTCTTTAATATTTTTTTCCTTCTCGTTGCTGCCGTCGTTGTTGCCACGGCCGATCGGTGCCGCCTCTCGGCCCCGGGGCCGCGCCCGCCGCTATCGCAACAGCGCGGGGAGAGCGCCGCGCCCGCCCCCGCCTCCTCCTCCTCCGCCGGTGACMCCCGGGGGATGCGCGGGGAGTGGGGAACATCCCCCGCCACCCCACCCGGAGCGAGGGGGGCAGGGCGGCCACGGCTCTGCTCCGCCCCGCGCCCCCTCCCTCGGGAGCTGCTTGGGGCGGCGGAGCCCGCGGGGAGCCACGGACGGGGCACATTTTTAAATTTGATTTCCCCCCTCCCTAGCTCCTCCTCGCCGCAACGTTTCCTCCTCGGGCGGCTGGAGGCAACCTTGCCCCGCCGCTTCCCCGCGGCCGGCGGCGCTCGGCGGGCCGGGCGGGGCCGGGCGGGGCCGGCGGGGGAAGGGAAGGGAAGGGCGGAGCGCGGAGCTCGGAGCGCGGCCCCGGCCCGCCCCGTCTGATGCAACCGCGCTGTCGGCCCGCTGGGTGCGCACGCAGCCACCCGCCCTCCCCCTCCTGTCCTCCCTTCCTTCCTCCCTCCCTTCCTTTCTCCCTCCTTCCCTCCCTCCCTCCGTTCCTCTCCCCACGTCCGCGCAGACGCGCGCACCCCGCGTGTGCACACGCACGTCCCTGCGCGCCCCCGGAGCGCGCCCCCGCCGTGCCGCCGCTGCTGCGAGAGCCAGCCCTGTGCTCGGGGTCCCGTACCGTCCTCCCCGGTGTTCGCGCAGGGCCGTGCTGCGGAAAGGGTCGGCTTTCCCTGCCCTAAAGCCGCGTGTTCCCGTGCCAGGGACCAGGGATGTGACCCCTTCCTGGCCGTGCTGCGGGAAGGGTGGGCTTTCCAAGCCCGAAAGCCGCGTGTTCCTGTGCCAGGGAACAGGGATGTGACCCCTTCCTGGGCCTTGCTGCGGGAAGGGTGGGCTCTCCCTGCCCTAAAGCCGCGTGTTCCCGTGCCGGGGAACAGGGATGTGACCCCTTCCTTGGCCGTGCTGCGGGAAGGGTGGGCTCTCCCTGCCCTAAAGCCGCGTGTTCCCGTGCCAGGGAACAGGGATGTGACCCCTTCCTGGACGTGGATCTGACCGTTCTTCACTGGAGGCGTTTGGCTGGAAGAGAAAGTACTAACAATGCGTCCTTAAAGTCAATATTAACACCCACTGCTTTTCAGCAGAGCAGCCGGCCTCCTCTTCCTCAGATGGGGAAATTCGCTGGAAAACTATGTTTTCCGGCATCCGTACCCATCTGTACTCCTGAGTAGCTTCGGCTGAAAAAAAGCTGAAACTGAATTTCATTTTCAAAAGAAAACATTCCACTTCGGAAATGTCAACATGTTTTGTTTCAACATCTTGCAGCATTTTGTCTCCTTTTACTAAAAAGTCATTTACTATCCTCATTTATTCCTCTTTTTAGATACTCGCCAAAAGAAAATGTCCACAGTAGAGTGGCTTGAATAAAATGTGTGATCTGCGGTAAAACAGTAAGATTATGTTGTATGAGTTGTTCTGCTSTGCCCCCAAATTAGATGTTTTCTGCTTTGATTTTGCTGGAAAAACTTTGAAGACTTTCTGTACCTTTTTTAATACTGATTTTTTTCGCTCCCACTCCTGATGTTTTGTTTACTTATGGAGCTGAAAAAAGGCATTTTTTTTTCCACTGGGTGGGTTATATCTGCACCTGTGRTTTGCTGTGCTTCATCCAGGCTCGGCTGCCTCCTCCATCCAGGCATCTTGTSTGCCTTTCCTCTCCCTGCCTGCTTTTTGTTTTGCCTGCATCACTCATTGCAAGACTCAAAATTAGGCAAAAAATTGAGTGGAATATCTTTTTTCCTCTGTTTTTTCCTTTTTTTTTATTTAAAAAAATTACTTAAAAGGCAAGCAAATATATTATTTTCCTCTCATATAAAATTAACAATGACTCCTGTGCTTGCAGAGGGTGTTCACACAGGTCTGTGTGCCCCTGGGATGTGCTCGAGTTTAACACAGACAGCTGCTTTACCTTGGTTTTGTGTCCCCACGGCACCCAGGGGAGAATCTACCCTAGAGATGGGACAGCTCCTCTGAGGGGGGGGCTTTGGGGTGACCCCTCTGGAACCCCCCATTTCCCAGCTCCCGTTTTAATGATCCTGCTGATGCACAGGTTCTCCACGAGCTGTTGAGGKGCTGTGGGTTCCTGCGGGGATCCAGGGTCTCTGGGGGCACTTCCCTGGCTCTGGCTTTTGGAAAAGGGGAGGGGTGGCTGCTGCAGGTGGCACATTATGGGGTGTCACTGCAGTGCAGGACAGCAGCCCGTGGCCCGGCTGGACCAGGCTCACCTGGGTGGCTGTGCGTGGCAGCTGCACTGTTCTACTGTGCTGTGCTGTGCTTGGCTGKGCAGTTTTTTTCTGGTCTGTGCTGTGTTTTCCTGTCCTGTGCTGTGTTTTTCTGCGTCCTGTTCTGTGTTGTGTTTCACTGTTCCTTGTGCTGCGTTTTCCTGTGCTGTGCTGTGTTTTTCTCTGTTCTGTGCTGTGCTGTGTTTCAGTTGCTGTTTCTGTGCTGTGTTTCTCTGTTCTGTGCTGTGTTTTTGCTGTGTTTCACTGTTCCGTGCTGTGTTCCTCTGTTCTGTGCTGCGTTTTCCTGTGCTGTGCTGTGTTTTTCTCTGTTCTGTGCCGTGCTGTGTTTCGCTTGTTATGTTTCTGTGCTGTGTTTCTCTGTTCTGTGCTGTGTTTTTTGCTGTGTTTCGCCGTGCCGTGCTGTGTTTTGCTGTGCTATGTTTCTGTGTTGTGTTTCGCTGTTTTCTGCTGTGTTTTGCTGTGCTGTTTTCCCGTGCTGTTTCGCTGTGCTGTGTTTCGTTGTTCTGTGCTGTTTTCCTGTGCTGTGCTGTGTTTCGCGGTTCTGTGCTGTGTTCTGTGCTGTGTTTCACTGTGCTGTGTTTTCCTGTGCTGTGCTGTGTTTCACTGTTCTGTGCTGTGCTTGTGCTGTTTTTCTGTGCTGTGTTTCTCTGTGCTGTTTCGCTGTTCGGTGCTGTGTTTCTCTGTTCCGTGCTGTATTTCTCTGTGCTGTTTTCCATGCTGTGTTTATCTGTGCTGTTTCTCCGTGCTGTTTCGTTGTTCGGTGCTGTGTTTCTCTGTTCCATGCTGTATTTCTCTGTGCTGTTTCTCGTGCTGTTTGGCTGTGCCGTGCTGGCAGGGCTGTCCCGCCGCTCCCGGCAGCTCTGGCCCGGATGGAAGCAGGGAACAAGGAGCAGGGAGCAGAGAGCCCGGAGCCGGGAGCCTGGAGCAGGGAGACGGGAGCAGGGAGCAGGATGCAGGGAGAAGGGAGCAGGGAACAGGGAGCAGGGAACAGGGAGCAGGGAACAGGGAGCAGGGAGCCGGGAGCAGCGCACCTTGTGCCAGCTCAGCCTTTCCTTTCATTTCATACCTGGCCGTCCCGCTGCGCCCGCAGCTGTTTGGAGCAGGCAGGAACAGTGGTTTCATTCCAGTTYTATCCTTGGCCTCACATCTGAGGCTTCAAGCGAGGATTCCAGCCGTGGGCAGATGCCCCGTTTTGTGCGCTCCAGACGCTGCTCCCTTGAAGGTCCTTTACATGTTGGCTAAAAATCCAGCTGTTGCCTGATAAAGCCTTTCTGTCAYGAGTGGCTCTACCCAAAGTGACCCCAGGGAGCTGCAGTGTGTTAAGGGCTCCCTGTGCCCTGTACCTGGGCAGATTGGAAGGGAAGAGCTCTGCGAGCACATGGCTRTGTCCCAGCAAGCACAGTTGCAGCTCTGGTCCTCCCTTTCCAGGGGAGAGAAGCCAGGAATGACCMTACTGTAAATTTTTGCTGCCAGATGTGAAACCTGGAGCTGATACCATGAGCTTGGTAACCTGGTACACCACACCAACTTCCTTTTTGATTTTATTTTCCTGGAATGAAGTGATTGTTGCCGTCTGAGCTGCTGGCTTCCTGATGTATAGATTTTATTCTAGTTGGAGGCTGGGGATCCCAAGTGAGGACACATCATACACAGATGAATATACATATTTATTTATTTTAATTAGCAGAAGAGAGACCTCTACTGGCTCAGCTCACAGAGCCACTCTTTGACTGCAGTCAAGTTCCCTCTGACCTTCTCTTCACCTACTTGGGAGATCTCCCCCTYCATCACAGCCAAGGGAAGCTGAGAAGCAACAACCTTTCATGTCTTCTCATGAAAAGATGCAGCATGTGGGGAGTCCCTCAGCAGCAATTGCTAGTTCATGAATTTGTGACAGCCTTYGGTGCAGTAAATCAAGTAGCTTGTTTTCTTTAGGAAGAGATGAACCTTGAGCAATGATGCAGGGCAGAGTTATGGTTTTATTGGTGCTGGAGCACAAGTCAGCAGGGTGGTTTCATCCACTCCACTGATTTCAGTTGCCTTTTTTTCTCTTTATGCTCTTTCTCCAGGCTGGTTCTATAGCTCTGCAGTGAGGATGGCTTCACAAAGCATCTCAGGTGGGTCAGGGCTCTTCAGCAGCTTGCCTCTGCTGTCAGCTGGACAGATGTTGGCTCCTACCTGGGCTATACCTGGGGCTGGTGATCAGATCCTACCTTCTCTTCCTGCCTTGGGGATGAGTTAATACCTGGTGTGTTTTTCTAGCCTAWGTAATGCAAAACAGGGCTTGGTGTTTGCAAACAGGTGGAGCTGGGTGAGCCAGTCGTGTGAGGCTTGAAAATCCTGAGCTGCCAGTCTGGCTGAGAACAACAGAGGTGGGAGTTCTGCAAAGTTCACCAAGGACCTGGAGCCCTGGAAAGGCTGAGAGGGGCCCTCAGCCCTGSGTGTCCCTGGGTGTCCCTTGGTGTCGATGGCCTGAAATTCCTGCGTGGTTTGCCAGGGGATCTCCATCATTCCAGAGAACTGCTGAGACACAGTTAATTATTTGGTGGAGTGGGTCCCCTCACTGTGCCTTTCCCAACAGATCTCTGTAGAAAAAGCCCTTGCTTTGTTTCAAAACAAAAAGTTGCTCTGCTGCCACCTTTTATACCTTTTCCTTTCACCTCTGTCACCTGTACCCCTTCTTCTTCACCAARTGAGTGGTGAGAGCACCCACTAATTTGCAGACATTAATTACCTCCTCTTCTTGCCAAGTCTCTTCTTGCACCGAGTCCTGTAATGCTCGATATCTCTSTATTACCCCTCTGCCCCCTTTTGTTCTTTTCCATATCCAGTTATGCCTTTTTATTCTCTGCAATATGTCCTTGTTTCTCAACACTTCAGCCCTTTGGAAAATCAAACCTGGAACCTGCTGGGTGGCTTTATTGAATTTTGGGGTTTGTTTTGTGCAGGGTGGCTGCTGAAACAAGACTGGCTCGTGGACCATTCAGAGCACTGTGTTTTTATGCAGTTTCACAAGCACTGATAGAGAAACAAAGCAGTCTTCATTACCACTCAAATCTGTCTTGACTCAGCACACCGTGGCTGAATAAGGTATGCACRTATTGTTTTCAGGCAGCTGTAATCCCTCTGCAGACTTTGGGGTAATTTAATCCCTTGACATGACTGTGTGACTTGTGTTATTTTTAGGCACACACATTAAGAAAAGAAAAGGTCCATTTAATCTGAAAACATATTAGCAAGCATTCCTGATTTTACAAATCTGAACCAGGTACTGCAGGGAATAAACTGAAAGTCATTAATGTGTGATTGCTGTTTGATGGCCAGAATGAAACAGTTTCAGACCCACTCCCTACCTCCTCTTGTAGATACTGCAAAAATGAGTTGCTGCTCTTGAAAATCACRTCAGCAAAGGTTAAAAACTCATTGCAGATTGTTCTTTGCTGGTACCAGCTGTCTCCAGTCTGTGTGTATTATATTATATCTGCCAGCCATGTGGCTGAGCTGCTGGGGATGAGGGGAAGGCCTGAAATCCTCTCGTGTTAGTGCCCTCCCTGGTAATTCCTGAAGATGCTGAACTCACCTGGCTCCCATCCCTGGTGTTGCAGCCCAGAGGATTGGCACTGCCTGCTCTCCTGCTCTCCTCCTCCTCCTTCTCCCAAATCCTGAGTCACTCAGGACCAGTGACAACAGAGACAATGTCATGTCAGGTACATGACAGAGCTGGTGGCTGTGGACTGGTGGCTCCCAGATGCTGGAGCTGAGGCTCTGAGTCTCCTTTTTGGCCCAGCAGGGAGCTCGTGTATTGCTCACCATGGTTTTTATGCAAAGTTGTTTCCCTCCCCAGCTCCCTAGGGGAGATGGGGTTATTAAAATCGCTCAAATCAAAGCAGTTTCCTGAAGGGGTGAGGATTTAGTTTCTTTTGAATGTCCTCGCAGTGTCACCCAGCAGGCACTGGGATGTGTGATGGAAACSGAGGAGGATGTTGGTCAGGCCTCCACAGACTCCTCTAGGCTTAGCTTGGGTGGGGAAGTGAGGTTATACTCAGGCTCTGCTTTTAACTGTCCTCTTTGAGAATGGATGGAACAGGGGAACGAATTTGGTGAGGGACAAAGTGAGGAAAAAACCTTCAACTGTGGCWTTTCATGGGGTGGACAGCTGGCAGGAGATTGTTGACTGTTTGTTGCAAAGCCTGGCGGGCTGTGTTTGCTTTGGATACCACGAATCCCTGGGTCCTGGTGGGGACTGTGAGTCATGTTCCTCCCTGCAATGGAAAACAGGGATTCATCGGCGCGGTGCTGCGCTCCTGGCAGGGCAGACAAACCCTTGGGAACACGGGAAGGTGGCACCAGGCAGGAGGCGGGGAGGCCTTCCCTCCTAAGGGTATGGGGAAGTGTTTCTGAAATGTTTTTTTCCCTTCAGGCATCCATCCTCAGTTCTGGGAAGAGTGATCATTACTGTGGCCCTGAAAAGGGACGYGCTGGAGTTCTGGTGTTGCTGTGGATCCAAGGCTCTATTCTTGTGCCTCTCCTCTAAGTTCTWTCTGCATCTTGCTGTGCCTTAAATGCATTTGCAGGGTTTGGGGTCCTGTGTAGCTCAAAGCATTGAAGTTGCATCTTCTGTGGCCTCAGTGAGAGTTTTGAGAAGGCTCGTGACCACATTCCCTCTGCTGTCTCTTCCTTTGGCAGAACGAAACCAAGCAGTGTTTTCATTCTGTGTACAAAGGAGCTGTGCCTTTGTCAGCAGAGATGCTGGAGCTGCCTTTCTTTGGCACGCGTGGAGAAGCCCTCAGCACAAGAGAAGAATCATTCCAGAAGAGAAGAATCATTCCAGAAGAGAAGAAACATTCCAGAATCATGCTGTTGGAGGGCCAGCACAAGGTCAGTGTGGTCCTACACTGCCAAAACACCAGCGTTGGTTGTGCCCCACCAACCACCCATGTCTCTGGGTTTTCCCTGTGCTGCTCCACATCCAGCCCTTGATTTTGCTCCTTTTGCTTTGGGTACCACTTGTGGGTACAGGCTGTCTCTGTAGGGGAAAAGAACTGCTGTGTCTGGTGGTGGGAGCTGCTAACTCCTTCCTTTACATYGGGGACAAGAAATTCTCTCCTTGCTGAGGCACGGATAAATCCTTTGTTCCGGCCCACATGAACACCCAGCAAACAGTGCAATAATCACAAWGTGGTTCCAGGCCATCTGAAAKGAGGCTGTGGCTATAGCTTGCCCCATGGCCACCCATTCCTGCCTCCTGTGGAAGAGCGTGGGGCTGGAACAGAGACTGTGTGTGGTAAGAGAATAGCTATTTAAGGAAATGGGGTTTAAATGGGAACTTAATTACTCACTTTTGGCCTCATATCTGAGCAAGAATAACATGAAAACCTGAAATTAAGCACTCGTTGCATTCCAATAGAGGGAAGAATGCCTCCAGTATTTGAAAATAATTCGAAGATAAATAGAATTAATACTTAACATATAAAAGAGACAGCTAATGTTTTGACAGACAAGCCTTCTCCTCAGAGCCAAGAACACGYATTACCTAAAGGAGGAAAATCCTCATTTGTACTGCAGGTTGCCAGGAGTCATAATTAAAGAACAAAATTAGTCGTGGAGGGGATGGAATGAAGAGTAAAAAAATTGTTGTTTCTTAGATAACTGTGCAGGTGTTGCTGAAGAAGCACACAGACATCTCTGCGTGATTTTTTTTTTCCCCTTGATCTGTCTCTGTGTCCACCAGAACATTTACTGCAGATTTCCTTATATAAAAAATAAAAATAGGAATGTTCTGCTGTACAAATTGTTTTGCYGTGGGTGGAGATAAGCCTGCTTGCCCTCTGTTGTGCAGAGTCTCTGATGTCTAATTAGGGGCGAGATGGGTTTTTTTTTTTTGCCTTTCTAATGAGTCCATCCTCAGTGTTTCTTTCTTTTGTCATCCAAAGTGTGAGGGCTCCTCCAACTTTGGGTACCCTGGCCCTCTAACACGTTTGATGGACCTTTCCTGAGCTGCTGAAAAGCTCCTGGAAGGATGAAGGGGAAGGGCAGATAATCAGTTGTATGGACACACCCACAGGCTGTATAACTGCTCATTTCTGCAGGAAACCAGCCTGATATTTTGCAGAGAATTGGACCTGTTTATAGGAGATTTGTTTTTCTGATATGATTAACACTGGTCTCAGATTTTCCCAAAAAGCAGGGAAAGGAATAGGTAATTGGTAGAAGCAATGCCATGAAAAATGGTTAACTGGAAAGGAAAATCTGAGGCATTTTTCTGTCAGAGAAAACCAGTGTCTCTCTTAGGTAAATAAAACATGYAGTCTTCTCCACCTTGCATGCCTTTCCTAGCTGCAAATATGTAAATCTTTTCTTCCAGAAAGAAATCCAGATGCTCACTTATTTTAATTTGAGTCAAGATAAAGTGGCCACRTTTTCCCTGCCTGGAGCATTTGCAGAAATGCCACTGAGGAATTTTGGCTTGTTGTTTTAGTTAGAGAATTACAGAAGTCCTCCTGTTTTTTCCTCTTTCGAGGTTAGACCAAGAATGCATTCAGCAGTCATCAGCTGTGGCATATTAATAGAAAGATTTTCTCTAAAACATGTCCACTACTCCTAGAGGGAGATTTATTCAATATAATCCACCATTTCAAAGGTTAAGGTCACCGCTGAACATGTCAGCCCACCGGGATATCATAACACAGAAATTGCATAATCAATAGCACATGCTTTCCTCCTTTCTTTACCAATTAATGGATTTTTGAAATAGAGAGCTTGGCTTATGTTCTTCCAATCGTGTTGGATGGGGAAGCCCTTCAGGAGGATTTTGAAGGGAAAAGGCTGGCATTTAGGGTGTTCACGTCAATTTTTTTTTATGCAAATGCACAGGAGCACCAGCTGTACTGCCAGTTCTGCTTCCCGCCTGCTGACAATTTTATTGATTCTTCACAAAAATGAGTGTATGCATTACCAGAAGATATTCAGTTTTTTAATTTAATCTCAGATTTCTAACATGTTTCCATGCCAACAGATTTCTCATTAAAACCATGTCATTATCCTTTACCTCCTAAAATTCTGATTAGAGCACTCTTCTAATTTTGAATGGGTTTAGGAGGACATAAGGACTTGTTTGTATCAATTGACAGGATAYTTCCTGCTCTTACCATGATGTTTTTATATAAATTAGGCATATCTTTGTCAAGGTAATAGGAGTTTGTGCCTTGCTCAGCTCTTTGCACTGATTCTTCTTCCTTTTAATTTACTTACTGAAGGTATTCGGGACTGAATTGTGTGAATCAATGTCACTTTTAAAGATAGTCCCATAATAATACTTACCAGTGCAGCTTGGCTTAATTTTTGTTTGCTTGCAAAAAACACCCAAGGCAATGTAAGCAATATTTCATGATATTGATACCCAATCACATCCCATGAAAACACATTTTTAAATGTGCATAGGGAAGAGAGACAAACACAAGTTCATCTTGATGCTGCTTTTCTTAACTGTTCCAGGTTTGGCTTTGTCACCTTTCTGGTTAGGATTTCATGGGTATCATGTTCTTAAATCAGAAAAAAACCAAAGAGAAATCAAACTCCCCAAAGCAAACTGTGCATTTGTGTYGTGTGGAGGATCTTCCTGAATCCCAGCTCAGCAAATTCCCCARAACAGCTTTCCTGAGGCAGCCAGAGGCATCAGGGGCATCTTTTTCTTGGCTAGCCTGGCTCTGGAGACATCCCTCAGAGGAAACCCATGGTCTGGGAGGGTTTGAGATGGGTTTGAGATCTCTCTGTCAGTGGAGATGAGACTCAATGGAGCTCCTGCTCCAGAGGGACAGTCTGAGCCCTTTTATTTTCTTGTGGTAATGGTTGACCAGCACGAATGGAAGATCTGCTGTGCAGTGCTTGATAAAAGCAGAGGCTGAGCATGTGAGGGGCACTGCTCCTCTTGTGGGCAACTCACCTTTTTTTGCACCAGAAGTTTTTGGAGAGCAGTTTGTCCACTGCCTCCCTCCATCCCCCTGTTCAAATGAGACATCTCCCTTCTTTCCACCATGATCAGSCTCATGGATAAAGCACCCAGGTGGAGTTTTTGCACGCTAAACACTYTCCCCTGAGCCTGCACTGAGATTTCTGGAAAGCTTATAATGTGGCTGATTTGGAGAAAAACACACAGGGGCAGCAGAAGGTCTGGAATTGATGGCACAAATGCCAATTTCCATTTTTCAGTGTATGGAGCCATCACATCACCCCAAAAAGCTCTTTTCATACGTACAGTCTGTAATAGGGTCAAAATGTGTTTTTTCCCCTAGCCTTATGCTGAGAAGCATCTGAACCATTTTGCTGAAGCTTTCCCAAAAACCACTTAGCCCGGGGCAGACAGCGAGCATGGAAAAACTCCAGCCCAAACAGCTGAAATCTGGCAAAGCTGAACGCAAACCAAAACACATTCTTCTCAGGAAAAAGGGCTGGGTGACCTCTGATGTGCAGAGCTGCCTGCTCCACCTAAGTGAGACACAGGCAGAGTGCAGCTCAGCCTCTGTGCTCCTCAGCGTGGCTCTGAACTGGGAATTCTAGGGATAAAAATGTGCACCTCAGTGTGCCCTGAACTGGGAATTTTAGGGATGAAAATGTGCACCCTTCTCTACATGCGTGCTGCACAGGAGTCCTGGCTCTACATCAGTGCCATCACTGCCCTGATGTCATCCTGGCATACACCACCTYCAGCATTCTTCCCTGCCTGGGGCAACATTATACTGGGTTTTATATTTTTTCTTATTATTTTCTTTTTTTTCCCCTTTTTTCTTTTTTGCCCCCTCTCTTTTCCCCTGGTTGGTTGCTGCCACTGCAGAAAATCAAAGGCAGCCTCACACATTTGTCTCTGTTTTTCATTTTGTTTTGCTACAGAAGTTAAAAAGAAAAGCTTTGGAAGGACTTTCTTCAGGACAAGTGAGGAAGCAGCTGTTTGCCATGAGAAAAAGCCCCTAAATTTGTGCTTCCTGAGCTAGGAAATAGCTGCTGCTGCTGCTGCCACCGCTGCTGTTTCTGCAGACATTTCTTGTGGCCTGGGAGATGACACTGTGGCACAAAAGGCTGGAGGACAGCACCGGGGTGGGGATGGGAGACCAGGCAARGTCATGTGGCTCTGACTCACTGGAAGATATTTTTCAAAACCTTTAYAGAGACTGTATGTCCAACAATCCGTGCCAAGCCCTGGAAGAAATCTGCCCTGTGTTATGCTTTCCTTGAAAGAAGGGTGGAAGGAGCAAATGCTGTGGGAATGTCGGTCAGCAAAGCCTGTGAAACTGGTTGCTGTGCCACAAGGATGGGACATTTTGCTGTTTCTGCGAATCTGAGAGCAAAATCACTGCAATCCAGTGATGGGATCTCAGTGTGGCAGTGTGGGCACTCAGCTAAAGCTGTCTATGGAGGGCTGGACAGGAGAGAGGGCTGCCCTTGGCATGAGAGCCCGAATGTCACAGAATCATGGAATATCCTGAGYTGGGAGGGACCCACAGGGATCATTGATCCAGACCCCCCAACAATCCCACCCTGAGCATCCCTGGCAGCGCTGTCCGAACGCTCCTGGAGCTCTGGCAGCCTCGGGGCCGGGACCATTCCCTGGGGAGCCTGGGCAGTGCCAGCACCCTGTGGGCACACAAGAACCTTTCCCTGCTCTCCAGCCGGAGCCTGGCCTGGCCCTGTGCAGCCATGGCAGCCCTGTCCCTGTCCCAGCAGAGCTCAGGGCCGGCCCCTGCTCTGCCCCTCAGCAGGAGCTGCAGCTGCCATGTCTCCCCTCAGGCTGCTGCAGCCCAACAGAGCCCGTGCCCTCAGCCGCTCCTCAGCAGCTTCCCCTCACGGCCCTCGCCACCCTCGTGCCCTCCTTTGGACACTCTCCCGTGCCTTTCTGGCTTTGTGCCATGGTGGCACCCASAAGTGCCCACAGGATTGGAGCTGAGGCCGGCCCGGCCCAGAGCAGAGCGGGACAATCCCTCCCAGGCCCGGCCGGCCATGCTGTCCCTGCTGGCCCAGGACAGGGCTGTCCCTGCYGGCCCCAGGGCGCTGCTGCCTCATGTCCAGCTGGCCATGAGGGACCCCCAGGCCCCTTTCCCTGGCGCTGCTTTGCAGCCTCTCCCTTCCCACAGTGTCCGTGCATCCAGGGCTGCCCCATCCCCGGGCAGGATCGGCCCTTTCCCTTGTTGGAGTCTCCATGTTGGTGACTGCCTGGCCCTCTCCCCTGCCCAGGTGGCTCTGCAGGGCCTCTCTCCTTCAGAGGAGTCCACAGCTCGTCCCTGCTCCRTCTGATCCATGAACTTGCTCTGCGTCCCTCCATCCTGCATCCAGGGCATTTATGAGGATGTTTGCCATGGGCCTCCAAGTGTGTGTGGAGCAGTGACACCCGTGCCAAGGGATGTGCAGCCATGTCAGATGTCCCCAATGTGCTTTTCTCAGAATACAAGGGCTATACAGCCATGTCAGATGTCCCCAATGTGTTCTCAGAGTACAAGGGCTGTGCAGTCATGTCAGATGTCCCCCATGTTTTCTCAGAGTACAAGGGCTGTGCAGCCATGTCAGATGTCCCCAATGTTTTCTCAGAGCACGAAAGCTGTACAGCCATGTTAGATATCCCCAATGTGCTTTCCCCACGTGCTTTTCTAGGAGCACAAGGGCTGTGCAGTCTTGTCAGATGTCCCCAATGTGCTTTTCTCAGAATACAAGGGCTATACAGCCATGTCAGATGTCCCCAATGTTTTCTCAGAGTACAAGGGCTGTGCA